TTGCTATCCATTGGAGACTTCCAGGGAACTATAGGAATAGCTTCTGTATTTGAAGATGAAAAGGGAGAGTTTGCAAAAGTCATCTCAACCCACTTAAATATTTCTGACTTATGCGTTGAGGCTTGGTGATTGAAGTTTCTGTTCTTGGTTGGCTACAGAGAAAAATTATTAAAAAACTCCAAACTACTACAGTTCCTTACAATAATTAGGAAAAAAGAAATTCTCCATGAATATCTGCTAGATGTCAATGTTGCTATTGTAACTGTGGGCCTATAGGAGTTTCCTACTTATGCAGGGTTTTGGTGTGCAGGTTTGCCAGTGTCTTCAAGAACTGACACAAGGAGCCTGGTTTGCTGTTGAGCTTTCATATGGGAAGTAGCAAGCAAATTTTGAAGGACCAAAGAAAACACATCTTTTTCAGCTCCAAGTCAGCTGTGGAAGGCGCAGTGTGCAAATATAGTTTGGCAGGAAACATACGAAATATGAAATCCTTTTCTTGGCATCTTCACTGCCAATACTCCCTGTGGTGGTTGGGCTTGTTCATCTTCAAAAAAAACAAACCCAAGCAAAACAAAAAAGCTAAACAAAATTTAAAAAGCCCTACCAAAACAATTACCTGTAAATCGGTATCACTTCCTTTAGTACAGAATACTGACACCATAAAGTAACAGGGTGAAGGGATGTTCCTTGTCACAAGGATGGAAGTTTGCACTGTGATCAGGCAAAGCAGTCGACTGCTGTGACATTTTGGAGGGTGGGTGGGGAATTGCCTTCAAGCTGAAAGCTTGCTTTTGGCCCATTGAACTCCATCATTTGTTAGAGCCTTGTTGTCTTTCAGTCTCAATAGCATGTGCTGTGTGTGAGGGAAGTGAATGTGTACTTAAGTTCTTGCCGATGTGAAGCAGTGTTGTCTGTATAGGCCACACAGATGCATTCTTGTGCTTCACTGGTCTTTGCCCTGCCTCAGTCATTAACAGGCCAGATAGGGCAGGTGTTTCTTACTCTGTTCTAGGGTAAGCTTTAGGGATCAGCCTTTGTATATTCTTCTCTTGCAAACTAGTTGACAAAACTTAGAACAGAATACCAAATAAATTTTTTTCAGCTGTGGACAGATGTGTATAAGCCTGTGGCCAGATTCATAGGGGAGATTACACAAAACCAGTGTAACTATTCTTAGGGAGAGTTGCAAAACTCTTCTACTTTGCTGAAGCTCTTCTACCACCATAGTTTTCACAATAGCAGTTAGCCCTCTAGCCTCTTTAATGAAAAATGCATATACCAATTTTATTTGTTGAATGACGGAAGATGCCAAGAGATTTATATTGCTAGCATATGTGGAAGAGATGGAATATGTTCAGATGCTGAAATAATGGGTGACAAGACAAAATCAAATATTGAGAAGATTGAGAAGAACACAGTGAATATGTGTTCCTAGCTCCTTGTTCTGACTGGTGGACTGGCTGTTGTCAAGACTAGACCACTGTTCTAATTTAGCATGTCAATTCCTATGTCCCCAAAGAAGTCATTTAGTTGCTACAGAATGCTTAAAATGCTTTCTGCATTCACAAGTTTATTTTACTCTGTACTCCCTTCAGCTGCACCTTAAAGCATCTGCAGAAAAAATCAGCGCTACATGTATGAGTAGATTAAAACCACAAAATAGTCTACAAAACCTCTGTTCCTCATTTTCAGAATAAAACTGTGACATTTCTCTTTAGTTTACTGAAAGCCTTAATTATAAGATCAGGCTCTGGAACCATACACTTTGTAAGCTTTGCCTGGCATGGAAATTTTGTTTGGGAGTGATTTGTTAGGGTCTATGTGTTTGCACAGAATGCAAAAGCTTTTTCATGCTGAAGGTTTTCTCTGAAGTAGACAGCCAACCAACCTTTTGATATAATTTGTATACCTGAATGATCTGAACATATACCTGCTTAGTTTTCTTGAGGGTGTGCACGTTTAGAAAGTCATGATCATAATACAGATGTTCACGTTTGTTCCTACCCATCACTTAACTATTATTAGAAGATAGAATAATATTAAACATAACCATGCACATGTGATCACAGGACTGATTAGCACTTTTCCTTCAGTTATCTTAAAACATTTAGGCATAAAGCAGGTATTACTTAAGACCTTTTAGCAACTGTTAATGGGGTCTTTGAGGGTCTGAACCAATGGCTAATCCTAGAGAGAGCTGCAAACTATTTGTGTTGGTGACAGTTGTTTCAGGGTATGACTAATATAGTGAAATAAAACGTCTGAGTTGTCTGTGTAGTGTAGATGTCAGGGACTTGGCATTAATTACTTCAGTCTAGTGATCTATTCTTTTTGCACCAGTTTACTTGGAAATCTAAGTCTAGCCTAACCTGACCCATATCGCACAGAGTAATTGTAGGAGATTGGGGGATGTAGCTTTCACTGCCTGAGTCTTCGTCCTGTTCTGGTATCTGCCTCTCCTTTAGTGAAATGTAAATACTGGAGCCCTGGCTGTGTCTTCCTATTCGTATGCTAAGTAAGTGTCATATGTCAGACACACAGACTTTAGTGACTAAATTGAAAACTGATGCATTTATCCACTACAACTGGTTTCATGTGAGTTTTTGGTAATTGCATTTCAAGCTAACTCTTCTGTGACCAAGTACAGCTATGAAGGATTTGTCTGTATTTTGTTATTTTGTTCAGGTTTTTATTCTTCTTTAGTCAAGCCTTGCCATCAAGACTAAATCTGCTGGAGTTAGATGTTCTCTCTAGCATGTTTTTATTACTAAAATAATTCCCTGGGGGTTGGGGTTGGGAAACATAATAGTATAATCTGTATTGTCATGTTTAGGAGATTACAGGGGGATTATTTTGATTTTTATGTATATGTATTTATGTATAGAAATTTTATTTTTTTTTACTTTATTTAAGAACTTAAATGGAGGAGAAACTTTGATGTACTGTTGCAAAGGATTTAGGGCATGCAGTCCTGGGTATAAAAGCTTGCTTACAGCTGTTACAGATGACTGGAAAGCCATTGAGATCCTGAGGTCTGTAATGCGTGCTGTAGACATGGTGATTTTGATGTCTAACCAGAAAAAATGAGATTCAGTGATATTTTTGAAACTAATCTCAGCCAATAGTGAAAGTGATCATTGAAAAGGTGCTTGTGATTCCCCACAGAAGTTGTATTTCACTGTCTTTAAAATATCCCTATTTTTAAATTCTAATAGTAAAACCAAATGCAGACTATTAGAAAGCATTGTTTTGAAAAGTGTCCCTAGAGCTGTTTATCCAAATAGCAGGAATGTATTTATGGTATTTAAGCAAGAATAATCTGCTATATTATTTCAGATAACCCTTGTTATATGTGATTTTGGGGATATTTTAATCCTCCTAAAAATTCTTTATCCCTTTGTGGTGTATGTTATCACTGTAACTGTAGTCTATTAAAAACAAATTAGATTATCTATTAGACATCTATTAGTATCTAACAGATACATGAGGTATCTATTTATTTCAGATATTTTTCCTTTCTCCTTATAGAAGAAATAGTACTGCAGTATTACTGGCAAGCAAGTCAGCTGTTGTGCTGCTTTTCTTTAAAACAAGTGAAGGTAGCATATCAGATTTGAATATTTTCAAATAATCAGAGTTATTGATTATTGGTGGTGGATTGGCCATGGCTGGATGCCAGGTGCTGCCAAGGCCGCTCTGTCATTCCCCTCTTCAGATGGACTGGGAAGAAAAAATATAACCAAAAGCTCATGGATTGAGATAAGGACAGGGAGATCATTCCCTAATTACTGTCACAGGCAAAATAGATTTGACTTGAGGGAAAATTAATTTATTGCCAATCAGAGTAGTGTAATGAGAAAATAAACCCAAATCTTATAACGCCTTCCTGCACCCCTCTGTTCTTCCTGGGCTCAACTTTACTCCTGAATTTTCTACCTCCTTTCCCTTAGGGGGAACAGGGAATGGGCATTGCATCAGTTCATCACATGATCTTTTCTGCCACTCTCTCTCTCTGGGGAAGGACTCCTCACCTTCTTCCCCTGTTTTGGCATCTCCCTTGAGAGACTGTTCTCCACAAACTTTTCCACCATGAGTCCTTTCCACAGGCTGCAGTTCTTCATAAACTGCTCCAACTTGGGTACCTTCCACAGGGAAGGTCCTTAAGGAGCAGACTGCTCCAGTATGGGTCCCCACTGGGTCAAAAGTCCTGACAGCAAACCTTCTCCAGTATGGACTCCTCTCCACTGGTCCACATGTCCGCTCCTCCTCTGCCACCTTCTTCACTGACCTTGGTGTCTGCAGAGTCTCGCATACTCTCGCTCCTCTCTTCAACTGCGGTTGTGCAGGTTTGGTTTCCTTCCCCCCTCTTCTTAACTATGTAATCCCAGAGGTGCTACCACTATTGCTGATGGGCTTGGTCTTGGACAGCAGCAGATCCGTCTTGGAGCTGGCTGGCATTGGCTTTATGGGCCACGGGGGAAGCTGCTAGTAGCGTCTCTTAGGAGCGACTCTCCCGCTACCGAAACCTGGCTACACAAACCCAATACAGTTGGGTCAGAACATACCACCCCTCTCAGAAAGTAGAGGGCAAAAGGCATGACCTGGGAGTGGACTACAGATTTGTGTGAACTACAGAAATACACAATAAGGGTGACTGAAACTGTTGCAGCATTTTGGGATTGTTCTAATTTTTTTGGTAAGTAACATCCTGGAGTAGTTTCTGGTTTTCTTGTGTTTCGACCCTGTGTCTCTCAAGAAACACAGGTGACTTCCATTTTTTAATTCAGCCATGGTTAGTAGCAGTTTCTCTCTTTATTTTCTACTTTTTTTTTTTAAATTTTTAAACTGAGTAAGGCAGTTAAGTAAGGCGAGATGTCTTGAACAAGATATATCATCTAATTTTTTAGTGCCCGGTGATGGGAAAACAAAGAAATTGTGTCAGAAATGTCAGTATATGTAAAGACACAAGGGCTTGGCAATCTGATGTTCTCTTGTTTTCTTGCTCTTGTGGTTTAAACCCAGGACACTTGCTATGCTAGGAAATAAATTTTGACTTGTCACACCTTTCACAGATGGCTTAACACCCTGTAACGTTCAGTCTTTGAAAAGCCTGGTAAATACTTCTTTTATAAAGTATGCAGGGGTTTAAACAAGATTTTTGGAATAATTAGTGCCACGTTAATAGGGTGTTTTGGTTTGCTTTTTATATATCTAAGAGAGAAGCAAAGATTGAGAGAAAAAATATTTAAGAAAAGGCAATATTAGAGTGAACAGAACTTAAGAAGTTGGTACAGACATTGGAGTGTAAGTGACCAGTTATGGGCCAGCTGGTGTGGAAGCAGAAACTCTGGTCCTGCATTAGCTGGTTTTGGTAGCCTCTGAGGCCATGTCAGGTGAGAGTGATCTTCAGAAATGAGATCATTCTTGCTAGTGCTGTGCTGCAGCACTGCGTGAAGGCTGTTTGACAAGGGAGCAAATCTGTAGGACACAATTTCTTTTTGTTGTGACAGAAGTTGGCTTGTTCACAGTCTGGTGTAGCATCATAAATGCTCAGTCTGTTTGTTAGTAAATTGTTTTCCATGTATCGCTGATGAGGTCCTTTTTCTGTTTGCTACCTATTAGGATAATGCTATGAATGGTGTGATTTCACACACCAAATTTAGAGTGATTTCCGTTTATCTTCTAGAGGAGAGAAAGGATGGAGTGGAGGGGTAAGTCTTTGTATGCAGGTAATCTCTATTCTGTTCCTACAGACCCAATCCATGCTATGATTGATTATGTATGTGTTGAATTTGCATATTTTTTCTGATGAGCCAAACATGGTAATTCTTGCTGGAGCTATTACAAAAAATAGAAGACCTTGTGGTAGTCATTCTGAGTGTCATTCCCCTTGCTCATTTGGGAAACCTTCTATTTGTAAGCTTGTGTATTAACAGGACACAGATTGATGGAGTCTCAGGGCTTACAGATTGTGCAGACTTGTTCAGTAAATTTCAGTAACTGCATTCAAGCAAGGATAAATAAAAAAATAACTTGCCCCCAAATCTGGCATCCTTAGATAAGAGATAAAAATATCCCTGTGTCCATGGGGTTACTCAGTGCAGTCTCTTTAATTTATGCAGTCCTGCTTGCTTCTGAAATGTTGGAGCAGTAGTATGATTAAAACAATACTTGCTGTTGGTTTGATTTTAAGTGGTGGCAGGGCAGATGCCCAATCTATATCTTTTTGCTTGTGATGTTTCTGTTTATGAAGTTTCACTTTATGTTGCAACAGAAAAATCTAAGGCTGTTTACACCATTCTGGCACAAATTGAATTGCATTTTGGCTTTCAGGTTCTGCTGTTGGCTCCCCTACTCCATGTTGTAACTGTTGCTTCACCTCGAACTCAGTGCATGGGTCAGAAGGACAATGCCTCTTAGTTCAAAAATGCAGTCATGTAGGGAATCCTGAAGGGCATCTAGTTATGCTAATTGACCTTCCTTGTTTCCAAGAGTCCCATATTTTGATCACCTTGCTCTGAGGAAATACGAGTATCTTTGTACTGTGGTATGGGGGAGGGATGGTGGGGGGGAGCAGAATCGTCTTTGGTTTGTAAATTGATGAAGCATGTATATGCAAGATTGTGACCTTCCTTTAGGCTTAATATTTACATGCCATTATCTCCAAGTACAGTGACTATTTAAAATAAAGCTCTAGTGTTGCTGTGGGGTACACACAAGTGTTAAGAGTTTGCGCATTTATGGACCAGTAGCAAAACCATTTTAGAACCAGAACATTCTGAAAGGTGAAAATTTTGAAAGGAGGCACTAGGTAGAGGTCTGAAATGCTTTTGAAGATTATGTTCATGGGCAATTAGGTAATCTGGGACCCAAATTCCAGAAATAAGGATTACAGTTAAGGAAAGTAAGCATCTGCATCTGTGTTTGAAGGTCTTGGTTACTGTTGCTTGTAATTCTAATTCACCTATATTTAAGTTTTAATTTTACAAAAAAAAACCCAACAAAACAACATAAACGAAATACAAATTCTATTGAAAGCAAAATAATTGCTTGAGATTTAACCTACTTCTAATTGCTGGTTTGTTGCCACCAGAAGGGATGTGGCCTTCCAAGAAGGGAAGTCTTGCATGGATGCTAGAAAATGGAAAGGTCTTACTAGTTGCAGTTTCTTTTGTTTAGCTACCTCTGTTGAGGATTTCTGACCCTGAAAATAAGAGGCTATGATAGACAAACATCATGGAACATGCAGCTTTAAGGCAATTTCTTTGTTTCTAAAAGACTTCTTTTCATGTAATATAGCATCTCTTTATTCCAAAGGGAATATGTATCAGTATATGATGATATCACTGTATTTTTAAATGTTTTTAATTTGTTCTACATATCTCTTCTTAACTTTTGCCTATATATGTACCTGTCTTTTGCATTTATGCAGCCGCCTTTCTCTGTTTTTGTGTCAATGTTTATAAACAGATATATACATAATTTGAAGCTGGAATAATATTTTGACAATTTTTCTTGTTACTGATGGGTATTACTTATGAATTCAGTCTTGCTACCTGAGGGTTCTCAGTGCCACTGTGCACTTGTTTTTGGTTTTTGGGGGGGGTGTGTGTGTGTGTGTGTGTGTGTTCGTTTTTAGTGAAGGTGATCATTGTTCTGGAGGTCATTTCCTCCACTTTGTGCTATAATCTTGTTGTCCTTTTCAATTCTTCACTTAAGAGAAGATTTTAAAGTGGCAAGGAATTTGAAGGGTTCAGTAGTTAGTGATAAATGTGCAGTTGTTGACAATGTCTTATCTTCTTAGTTAATTATGTTTTATTATTGAGGTGTATTGTGTTCATGCATTGCAATTGCAAACGAGCATGGACAAGAGGTATAACTTATGCTGACATAAGTAGTTTTCTTAAACTTGTCTGTACTTGACAACATTCATAAGAAGAACTGTGAAGAGCAAGTACTGATTAAAGAGGCTGGTAAAGTGCTGCTGTTGATATCAGTAGCAAAACTTCTCAGTGAACTATGTGGAACTCCTCAGAAGAACAGTTTCCACATAGGAGATATACCCATGTTTTGGATGCTGGATGATGTAATAAGGTAAAGTGCTACTTGGCATGTGTGCCAGAGTGACTCTGAAGATCGTAAACCAAGTATTAAAAACAGACATGCTGGCATTTAGTGTTTAAGAAACACTCTTTTCTCTAAGTTGTGAAGCCCTGTTTAGAGTAATACACTAAATCTGGTTTCCAAATAACCTGCCATGTTTTGCTATTGTTTTGAAAGTTTTGCAACCATGACACTACTGAGAGAAATGTGTTGAAAAGTTGGAACATCTGTTTGTCATGCTGTCTGCTGGTGAAGTTGTTCTGGCCATGTAAAACAGGTAACAGCTTTAGGGTTCTGCTTCATTTGTGGATTCCCTTCACTCTCACAAACTGTTTCAACACTGAAGACCTCTTTGAAATTTAAAGGCTGAAGAACTGGAAATTTCAGTGGAAATGAACATCTGATGGAAGTGAGACTCAGCCCAGAATCCTAATTGGCATGAGAACATCTTTTGAGTAGTAGTAACTCATTCACAAAGGTAGGTTCAGTCTTTAAATTTTAGTGATTCTTGTCTTAGCTATGCCTGTGAGATTAGGTTAAATTCCAGAAGCCTGATCCAAATCTTATTAAATTCAGTGGAGGGACTGTAGATCCAAAATGGCCTGATTTGGTTTAAACTTTTTCCATAATGAGAAAAGCTGTATAGTATGTATTGTTCCAGAGAGGAGGTTTCCTTATTTATTACTCAGCAAGAGAACTTGGATTTGTAGTTGTGGATAGCTGACAGTAAAGAGAATTCTAACAGGATTGTGGATTTTGTAATTGTAACATACCTGTGCCTCCATGTAAATGTCTCCTTTAAAAATTTCACACTGCTGTTCTCAATTCTGTCCTGCACCTTTACAGTATCACGTAGCAATAGCATCAACCACGTCATTCTTATTGTTGGTAAAACTTCAAAAGAGAGCCCAGAGTTTTGGTGAAGGTAAGTCTGAAAATTATGGGTGTGGGGAATGTGAGTGTTGGTTTATCACACAAGCTTACTAAAGCAAATGAATAACCTTGCTTCTCTGTGATTCCCCCCTTTTTACCTCCTTCTCCAGATAACGATGCTCAAACTTCACATAAACAGCTGGCATACTGTGGAGGGCCTGATAAGCGGATTTCTTCATCCATGCTAAGTCTCTGTTATATCATGTAGCCGTCCCATTATCTTGTGTGAAATGCTTATTGCAGTTTCTTCCATTGGGTCTCCTATATACATTATCTATAATGCATAATGGAGTGTGTGTATGAATGAAGGACAATATCCCACAAAGCATGAAAATTACTTGTAAGTTGCAAGCATTGGGTCTTAATGGTATGATCTCATTAGGTTAGGAAAAAAATTCCCTAGTATCACCCTTTATATTCTAGAGCTTGATTTATTTTTCTCTTTTCTTTTTTTTTTAATCTTCCACAAGTTTAATCAAACTATGTTAAAAAAGAAATAGATAATGATGTTGAAGCAAGTGATAGGGTCTAAACCATGAGTTCTTTTTGTAAATTTGCTCATTTAAAGGAACATTATCAACTTCCAGCATGTTTTTTTGTGGGAAGCGTCAAATTAGGAACTCTGAAGTAATATAATGCTACTAGTAGTAATAGTCCCACTTTTCCTCTTCAAGTGTTGTGTTCTGAACTTTGAAATATGGAGTATGTTTCATTTTTGAGTGCTTCAGTATACTATGTAGATATTTTGAAGTTCTGAGGTTATTCAACAGCATTATTTCTGGGAGGGAAGAGGGATTAACCTCAGGTCTTGGTGGATGCTGGTGTTCAGTTGCATTTGTGTAGTCTGCAAAGCTCTTATTTTCAATCAAACTGTAATCAGCAGATAGGTATTAGAGAAGCTGTCTTGAATTATCTAGGCAACACACTGTCACTGGAGGATTGTTATGTGTTGTACACTATTTGAGACATTTATTTCAGTTATCTAAACATTTTTTGGCCTACACTTGTCTTTAAGGGTTTTGAATACTGGAACTTCGTTCTTTTCTTCTGGAGACCCAAGGTTTCTGTTTCTTTACAGTTTCTTTTCTGTTATAGTTGTCTGCATTACCATGTTATATATTTTTTTTTTTCCCCTTAACTGTCATTCATGCTTGCATTTACTACAGTAAATAATTCCTTTCCATCATTGGTGCCTATGTTTTCCTATATTTTTAATTGGTTTTGTTTTGTTTTTTAGGGTCTGTCTTTATTCGTTGTTAGATAAGCTCTGAATATCTGGTCTTTGTTTAATTTTAAATATCCATGGAATAGTCCTTCCAAGCAGATATTTTCCATAACTGATATCCTTCAAGTTGTGCCAGTATCTCTTTTGGGAATGGAGTGTCTGGAACCAAATGAAAGACTCCAGACAGAGTCAAACACAGGCTCAACTGGACTGTGTTGCCACTGTCTTTGTGGGACTTGCAGCCCTAGGACCTGGCTATGTAGGTAGCATTAGGACCATGGTTGGGCCTCCCCCTCTCACAGCCTGGCTCTGTGGTCTGAGGAAGCAACTTCACGTAACAACCAGACGGAGACACCAGCTGGTACTAACAGCTGCAAAAGCCGCACAGTGAAGGCTGGAGGCCATGCAGAGAGCAGTCTGGCTTCTGGCTAAGGCCTTTGTTTCCCTGTGCTCCCTGGTGATGCACTCAAAACTTCCTTAAATTCTCTTCCTCAGTCCTATCAGTTTTCACCCTCCTCAACCTATGTCACCTTATTCCAGGCTCCTCCTTTCCCTGAGCTTTGTGGTTAACCAAAAAAACCCACCCAGCATTTCTTAAACTGTTCAGATGGTTACAAGCCCTTGCTGTGCTCTTTGTATTTACCTTCAGCCTTTCCTCTGTTGTGTATAGAGCCTTTAGCTGTTAGACGCTGGGAAGAATCACAGCTACATTTCTGTAGCTTTAGAAACTGCAAGAATAAATATAGTTGTTACTGCTGCTGGTAGTAACACTGGCTGTCTCCTGTGGTGTGGCACATAAATGTCTCTCTCAGCTGAGTATCTGAGGTTCAATATCTATCTACTTTTCTCCTTCTAAGTTATTTCTCATTTGACAGTTTTTGGTACACTGTTTCACCTTGAAGGCCTACTTTTCATGGATGTCAGTGGACAAAAGCCTTCAGTGGATTTTTGCTCAAAACCTTATTTCCATTTTGTAATTGTCACAAAATTTCTGTCCTTAAAAATAAACCTAAACAATATTGTTGTATAATTTCAGATGTTATTAAATAGCTGTCAGGTACTGCTTTCTATCCAGTAACATTTTTTTTGTGGGTAAGAATTGAAATGGCTATTGCATATGCAGCATTGAATTTTTAAAGAGCTTTTAGACACTTGTTAAAGTGCTAACTATTTTTTTATTTTTACTGGAATATAAGTGCCTTCAGCTATGCCAAGAAGCATTGAAGTGGTATTATATTTTGAATTGTTACAAGGTTCTCTTTCATAATCTTGCTTTCTAAGGCTTCTATGCTTCTTAAAATACCTGTAGTAAATTTAATATTTCTAAGAAGTATTATCATCTTATTGAACCTGGAACATAAGCTCCTAGAGACGGGGGAATTATAACATTTTTTGTAAAACACGAAGACATTTACGGCACTGTAGTTATAAGGCACTTGTATAAAAGAAAGTTTTGCATTGTGTCTCTCCCACACCCCCTACTTTCATGTATGCAACTTCTCCTAAAATTAGTTCTGAATTATGGTTGTGGGAGGACCCTGTTATGTCCAGAGCCCCATTCAGGTTACTGGATTCGTGCGTGCTTGTAAGACCACAGCAAGAAATGCACCACAGGGATAGCCTTTGGTGAAATTCTGTTATGCTTACATTGCTTTGAATGATATATATGCTTGTTAAAATGTTCAGCAATAACTCTGTAGGTCTGCAATAACTGTTAATTGAGGTTGCAGATTTTCACCTCTCTGTATACTTCTTTTACATACCAAAAGATCTCTGTCAATGCTGTGGTTGCTTCTTTTAAAGCACCTGAGACTGTAACTGGGTGTGAAAAAAGGAAGTTGCAACCTTTGCATATCCTCCTGGACCTGATTCTGGGATCACAGTATCACAGTATGCTAGAGATTGGAAGGGACCTCGAAAGATCATCTAGTCCAATCCCCCTGCCGGAGCAGGAACACCTAGATAATGTTACACAGGAATGTGTCCAGGCGGGTTTTGAATGTCTCCAGGGAAGGAGACTCCACAACCTCCCTGGGCAGCCTGTTCCAGTGTTCCATCACCCTCACTGAGAAGAAGTTTCTTCTCAAGTTTAAGTGGAACCTCTTGTGTTCCAGTTTGTACCCATTACCCCTTGTCCTATCATTGTTTGCCACTGAGTAGAGCCTGGCTCCATCCTCGTGACACTCCCCCTTTATATATTTATAGACACTTATAAGGCCACCCCTCAGTCTCCTCCAAACTATAGAGACCCAGCTCCCTCAGTCTTTCCTCATAAGGGAGATGCTCCACTCCCTTAATCATCTTAGTTGCCCTGCGCTGGACTCTCTCCAGCAGGTCCCTGTCCTTCTTGAACTGAGGGGCCCAGAACTGGACACAATATTCCAGATGGGGTCTCACCAGGGCAGAGTAGAGGGGAAGGAGAACCTCTCTCGACCTGCTAACCACCCCCCTTCTAATACACCCCAGGATGCCATTGGCCTTCTTGGCCACAAGGGCACAGTGTTGGCTCATGGTCATCCTGTCATCCACTAGGACCCCCAGGTCCTTCTCCCCTGCACTGCTCTCTAACAGGTCGTTTCCCAACCTATACTGGAACCTGGGGTTGTTCCTGCCCAGATGCAGGACTCTACACTTTCCCTTGTTATATTTCATCAAGTTACTCCCTGCCCAACTCTCCAGCCTGTCCAGGTCTCGCTGGATGGCAGCACAGCCTTCTGGCGTGTCAGCCACTCCTCCCAGCTTAGCGTCATCAGCAAACTTGCTGATAGTACACTCAATTCCCTCATCTAAATCATTGATGAATATATTAAATAATACTGGTCCCAGTACTGACCCTTGAGGCACTCCACTAGTTACAGGCCTCCAACTAGACTCAGCCCCATAGACCACAACTCTCTGGCTTCTCTCCTTCAGCCAGTTCGCAGTCCACCTCACTACCCGATCATCCAGACCACACTTCCTCAATTTAGCTGTGAGGATGCTGTGGGAGACTGTGTCAAATGCTTTGCTGAAGTCAAGGTAGACCACATCCACTGCTCTGCCATCATCCATCCACCGTGTTATTTCCTCATAAAAGGCTAAGAGATTGGTCAAGCATGATTTCTCCCTTGGTGAAGCCATGTTGACTGCCCCTCATAACCCTCTTATCCTTGATATGCCTTAAGATGGCACCAAGGATAAGGTGTTCCATCACTTTCCCAGGGATGGAGGTGAGGCTGACCGGTCTATAGTTACCTGGGTCCTCCTTCTTGCCCTTTTTGAAGACTGGAGTGACATTTGCTTTCCTCCAGTCCTCAGGCACCTCTCCCGTTTCCCAAGACTTGGTAAAGATGATGAAGAGTGGTCTAGCAATGACTTCCACCAGTTCCCTCAGCACCCGCGGGTGCATCCCATCTGGACCCATGGATTTATGGATGTCCAGATTGCTCAACTGGTCTCTAACCCATTCCTCATCAACTAAGCCAAACCGCTCCGTTGACCTGACTTCATCTAAGGTCTCAGGGGTACGGGGCTCTTCAGGACTGCCTGCAGCAGAGTAGACAGAGACAAAGAAGGCATTCAGTAACTCTGCCATCTCTGTATCTTCTGTCACCAGGGCACCCATCCCGTTCATCAGTGGGCCTAGAGGATCCTTGGAGTGTGTGGTGCTTAAGCATGATTCTTCACGATTTTGTGCTTAATGAATACTGAACATGAATAAAAGTTGCAGGACTTCATTCTAGGAGGTGTTTTGGAATTTATTTTTTTTTAGAGCACTATAACGTTCTCCAACTGTGACTTTCCAGTTTTTCTAAATTAATATAACTGCAATACTATGTATGCTGACACTCCCCGCCATCTTAGTGCCTGCAGAAATGTTGGAGTTAACTGCATGAATTGAAACTCTAGTGTATTTTTAAGTATTGAAACAGAGATTCAGGGAAGTGGATGTGGCATAGTTTGTAAGGAGGTTAGAAGTTTTGAGATTAAGCCAGTGCTGCATGAAATCGGTGCTGAATGGCTGGGGTGAGAAGTATGACCATCCTGTCTCAAGTCACATTCTTAGCCACTGTTTCTCCTGCTGTTTGTGTCCCCTTGTATTTGTGGTACCATGACACAGACCACTAGAAGGATGAATGGTCAACACTCTTTCTACTTTGTAACTATTTCATGTTAGCTAGAGTTTGCCGTAAGATTGTTCGAAGTCTCAATGTTTCTAACAGTAATAAAAAGATTGTAATGTGACTGCCTGCTTTGCTGCACAGATGCTTGCTAAGTGAAATGGGAAATAAATGGATGTTTTTGTTCTGTGCTGTATCCATGTCACTTCTGGCCAGGAGCATCCTCTTAATTTCTCTCCTGCCTGCATGGGCTGTCAAACTCTCTCAGTTCCAATATATTACCCTCCATTATCTGAACTTTCACTGCAGTTTCACTGCAGTTATCCTCTCACCCTCTTTGGGTTTGGACTTTACCAACATAAAGGAAAAAGCTCCAGCCAATGACTGATGTCAGTACAAGACACCTTAAGAGGAAGAACATATCGTTTTACTCTGTGGTGATTGATTGCCTCCCCACTGTAACTTAGAAAACAATGTTAAAGTGTTAGGGAGGTGTTTGCCAAACCAATGTAACTACTGTCCTGTATGAAGAGAATCACAAGCTGCCTTGTGCTTATAAGCCTACTTTGAGAGACTTAATCTACCAAGAGCTGAGTTACGTGTGAAGCTTAGCAGGAGGTAATAATGTTACTTTTGTGTAAAAAGAAGGATGAAAATAAACATGATTGTAAAAACTGACAACAGCTGAATTATAAAATGCGGCCTCTTTGGGTGCTCTAGTCTGTGAGAAATATTTGAACTGGGAACCAGAGACTGTTTAGTGATACTTCTCTTCATGGAAACATGAGGGTTAGGAAGTAGTGATTGTTGTGCTGAATGGTGGAGATTTAGCAATGCACCCTTAGATGTACCCTTATATTTGATTAGAAGCTGGTCTTTATGCTTTGCTGTGTTTGAGGTAGAGCAATAAAGTCTTTCTTACTATTAAAATGGTGCATTAGTTGAATATGGATTCACAGACATGTTTTAAGACACATTTCATACAGCACCAGAGTTATGTCTGCAAGCTTGTCCGAGTCACTGGGTTCTCTCTCCCTCTTTTGGTATTCTGTGACAGGATTAAAACCCACCATGATGTGACTCCAGCTGAGCTATTGGAACAAGAAGAACCAGAAAAGACTGCTCCTGTTTTTATTCCAAAGCAGAATCCTTTGGTCAGACTGATTTTAAGGTTCAAGTCCTATTTCTGTGATGTAAAACTAATTCATAGGCTAGTGCTTTGTGAGAAATTGGGGCTATCCCATTATTGTTTTCACAGTAGAAGGGAACTGTTGTGTGTAACATGCACTGTAATACCTGTAATGCAAGTTTATATACTACTCTGTTTTTACAAGCATATGTTATATCTGCTGTCTGCACTAGGTTTAAAGCCTGACACTGAATTACAAAAGAAATTTGATGCAATGTATTAGACACTCATATGACCAGCTGTAGTCTCATAAAAGGTTGCTCCCTTGACATGATGAGCTTTAGAAATTGATTCAGGTGTACTGAGAATTGATTTGAGAAGTCTCTCTGGCCTTATGGGACAGCAGTGAAAAGAAAGCTCAATAAAAGGATGTTGTAAAGGCAATCTGGAGTAACAGGCAGTAGCCATGATCAAGGAAGTTGGAATAGATGAGCATTCAAGGGGCACTCTTGAATTTGTGTTTTAACTGATTAGGAAAACAACATGATAGTAAAGGGCAGTTTTAACTGTGGAACTTTTTTTATTTTACTATTAATTTTTTTCTCTTTTATGCTAGGTCTTTTAGAGAGGTACATAAGCCACAATACCAAGACACCTCTCAGGCATATTCTTTCTTTCTTTTCCTTCATTATGTCTTTCTTGCTGAAATGTCTTCTCTCTTGGTTATGCTGGTAGAAAATCACTTTTTATTAAGTGATTTTCTGATGTTTAGGAAAGGGTATGCACTACCAAAGAAAATGATGTAGTTGGCTACACAGAAGTTCCTACATATGACAAAGAAATGAAGAATGAAAGAGAATAAAACAAACTTTAAAATAACGAACAAAATATAACTTGGCTACTCTCTCCTAGTTAGTATTCTTAGTAATTAAAGTAATACGTTTTTAACTTTCCTGGTCAAATTGATGAAGCTATTTTTTAATATCTTTGCTTGTTACTGAAGGACAGTAGAAGCTAAATCTGGAGGAGATTCTAGATAATCACTTGACACAGATTCTAGTCTAGAATACTAGACTTTAACATGGAAAAACTGTCAAAAATCTACTGCAACACAAAAATCCTATTTTCAGGTAAATTGAAATTCATGTTGCACAGGGCAATGAGCAAATTATTGCTAGTGTGGCAAATCAGAAAAACTGAAAACCATTTTAGCAAACCCTCGGTTTTATTCCATAAACCTGAGCTGTGTAAGAAAACCTAACTTGTTTGTATGTCTTACTTGAATGACTGGGGAGACTAGCAGGGCTTCAAACCTACATGGAGGTTTTATGAAAAATTTCTAACTCCAGGAGTTGCACTTCCCAAGGAAATTTTTGACGCAGGAACTGTGATGCAATGCACTCAGAGGAGACAGTCAAGGCCCAAATAGGTAGTAATTTCTGTAAGGAATCAAATCAATTAAAGGCGCATAAATAAGCACTTCAGTCTACTGATTCCAGCATAGACAAACCTGCGTATGGCTCTTTAGATGTTTGAAGTTAACTAAGGTTTAGAGTAACTGATAAAAACATTGGCCTGTCCAGTCCAGTATATTGATGGAAACTTCTTACTGTTATCTCTTTATCCTCTGGATACATCATTCAGTTTTCTCCCTTCCTTAGACACCTTTTTGTTTTTTAGTTCTCTCCTGGGGTTGTTTTATGAAGTGATTTTCTCCACTGAGCATGCAAGCACACTTGTTAGGATTTGATATATGTAAGCCATATATTTTATTATGGTGGATGTGTTCGTATAGGATTCTTATTGATTTTCTCATGTTCTAGTCAATGATGAAGTGAAGCGATAATAAAGCATGTACGTGCCGGGCTTTTCTTTACCTCTCCTGCAACTTGGACACACCATTGAATTTTTTTTAGATATGCCAGGTGCAGTGGAGAAGAAATCTTTCTCTCAAGTAAAACGGTGTAGGATTACAGCAGTAACTGCTGTTAGCTGCTTTGTCCTTTGTAGCAACCTCTTGTGTGATGAGAATCTTTTTCATTTCAGTTTTTCTTTTACCCCGTAAGAAGATTATTTTGGAGCTTTGTTCATGAAGGGTTTATTCCCATTTCCAGTGAAGCCAATGCTAAAATTCGTATTGATTGAAGCAAAGGTTAGACACAACCATCTAAAATAAATGCCGAGTATGAAATTATGTCAGAACACATTAGTTTTTGCAAGTGTGACAAAATGTTGCTTATGTATTTACTGATATTGCTGAAGAAGTCTTGTCATTGTGTTAAGATGACAGAGAATACTTTGCTTGGCACTGGAAACTTGTACTGCCCAACCTGTTGCTGAAAAGTGTGTTTTCTCCATGCTGCAAAAACTAGAATACCTGTAACTTAATTGTACAGATGTAGTGCCATACAGCATTTTATGCAGGTACACTATGTATGCCCAGTAAGGCAGAATTGATGGAAAAAAAAACAAACAAAAACAAAATCCATGAGAACATTGCAAGAATGCAAGAACCTTGATTGTATGTTATTGCCCTGTTGAGGTTTGGATCAGTAACCTGAAATACTGGGGATGCAGCTCTGCTCTAGGTGAGTCAGCACTAGGTCTATCAAGCAACAGAACTTAAATGTTCTCCACTTGGTCACTGAAGGCTAGGCTTTGCACTTGCCTTTCTTGAACTGATCGCCTTTTCTTTGTTTCCCTTTCTTAGTTCTGCATCTGAAACAAAAAAAAAAAAACAAAAAAAAAACCAAACCAAGTCTCGATTTCCTAGTAAATAGAGACTGCATCTCTCCTCCCAGGGCTTGCTCAAGGTCAGTAACAACTTCTGCAAGAATGATTTATTGACTTCTCTACTCTGACCAGAATTTAAACTGCCACCAAAGGGCCTGTAGTCCCTAGACACCAGCTTGGCCTTCTTAGTCAATGTACGAGAAAGATGGCTTTAGTTACATAGCAATTAAAAGACTTACTTCATGGTGAGTAACTAAGGGGAAGTAGAGGGCAGGGAGAAAAAGTTTAACACGCTGAGACAGAAATAGTATAAAGCACTAATTCTGTGCTTGTATAGAAGTCCCTCCTTTCCCATAATTTCTCTCTGCTTTTCGTTTTCCGCTTTTGCTTTCTATATGTCTCTTGATTTATTGAACCATCTTTGGGAGCCTTGGAGGCTTTATGAAAAGGGTAAATATTAATTGGGCTAAAAAAACTATGAGTTTACTTCATGACATCATAAACCTTGCTTCACCGAGGGATCAAGGCCTATGTAATTGTGGAAAATTCTACCATCCCTGGTTGTCTCAAGATCCCCTTCCAGTTGTGGACCTGTTGGCCAGTAATTCAAATTTGGTAAGAAAGGTAACAACCTCCACAGTGCAGAAGAGGGGCACCCTTAGTTCTCTGCTGAGAAAACTGTAACAAGTATAATCTTTAGTAGCCACTACTAAAAGCTCTGTTGTGAAAATTGTAACTTGAAGGATATTTTAAGTTGAAGTTTGTGCCATGTTGAAAATCAGCTGGCATACAAGGCCATAAGAAAACTGACTTCATCACTTCCCTTTCTCATGATCCTACTTGTTTTGCTGCCAGCCAGCTGCTTAACATCCCTGGAAAAGAGATGTCCCTGTGGAAATTAGTGCAATGTCTATGTGAATACCAAATGCATTTTATTAATACAATACTTATTGTTGGAACCAAGCTCATGTAGAATCAAAGCATTAAGATTTTCTTTGTCTTTATGGTGGTTTTGAAGAACTAGTGTCTTCTCATTCTGTAATCATCTGCACTGTGATGTGCCAGGAAGGAGACAATACTTTTTGCATGGCTGGTTAAAATTATGTGCTTTTCTTACCACTTACTGGTTTGTCTTGATGCTTGGTGACTGGTGTATCACATGATGGACTTCAGGTCTTACAGAACTGCCATTCCAGCAGCACTTAAGTGAATTACACTAGGTACATGGTGCTGGCATTGTGAATTTTACCTTGTTTGGTTGCAGGGTTGGATTGTATCAGGGAATAAATAGTTCAGCAGATCTGAGTATATCACTTTGTTATTGACAGAGCAGCCAGTTTTTAACTGGTCTTGTAGGACACTTGCAGATGTAATTTTTTAGCCACAGTTTCCTTTCCCAGCTGGTTTCCCATGGTGAAGAATTGGTGTCAGAACTCAATTAGTGACACTGTAAGGATTGAAATGTGATTCAAGCCCTGTTTTGCTAGATTCAATAAGTGCATAACTGTTTTTATTTCAAATAAATATTATAAAGAAAATAATAAACTTCATTAAGTATGATGATCACAAAGGGATTAAATGGCATCTCAGACTTGTTAAATCTGTGACGTGGCTATGAGTTGAACTCCAAATTTTTGCATCTCAGTGTAGTGTTCTAATGACCAGATCCTACAATTATTTTATCAGGGAAGTGTTCACCACTTAAGTGTCTCTATGCCAAACTGGCCTTAGTGTCATAAATGGACTAGAAAGTAGGTATTTTTCTCACTAAATCCTCTCTATCACGTAAAACTTTGGTGGAACATAATGCCCAACTATTTTTGAAATTTACAGCAAATAGTGAAGTCAGTATGGGTTTCTCCCACCTTAGTCTGCCAATGCATCTTAGTTTGTTCACTGCTGGAGCAACTTGGTTCCATGTCACAGTTAAAGGCTGTTTTACCTATCTGAGAGTATTTCATGTGGGGTGGGAAAAGATCCCTTAGGTCAGTTTAGGAGAACCAACTTAATTTAATGTGCACAAACTGGATTTGAAATGACCCATAACTCTCACAAGATTTTTATTTTTTATTTTTTTATTCAGTGCTCAACTTTGCACATCCACAGAGTTCCAAGTGGAATGTCCATTTATTTCCCATTGAGAAGATCACAGTAAGCAAAGTGTAAAAAACACTCATGGCAAAGAGGAAATTTAGTGGCATTGTAAATTAAAAGCCTTGGATAAAATGTTAACAATTTTGACTTACAGTATTGTCACTGACTATGTTGTGAGACCTGAAATAACATCTGGAGTTACA